GGGGGAGGGAAATGGGAGGCTGGGAGGAGGCGGAAACTTTTTTTTCTTATTCTCAATAAAAAAATAAAATAAAATAAAATAAAATAAAATAACCAGAGAATCATGAGAAACTTCGCATGATGGAAACAGAAGGAGGCCTCAATGGTATAACAATACTCTACATGGTATAATTCACTTTATGCAGCTTTAATATTGCATATTTGTTCATACTGTTGTTACATGTAAATGACACCATAGCTTTCGTTGTCCTGGAACTCGCTCTGTAGACCAGGCTGGCCTCAAACTCACAGAGATCCGCCTGCCTCTGCCTCCCCAGTGCTGGGATTAGAGGTGTGCACTACCACTGCCTGGTTTGTTTTAATATTCTTAACTGAAAAGTACAAACAAATTCTCTTATACAATAAGTAACTTCCCTGGAAATCCCATGGAAAATATTCCACATAGCTGTACAATACAAGCAGGAAAATGCTAAACCAACATCTGCCAAATGTAGAAAAATAGGATAAACATACTCTGTAGCAGAATACACAGGGTTGAAACTTTTTATTTTGAAGTCATTTCAAACTATTAGAAAAGCTGCAATAGTATTTATCCACCATCCAGGTTGGGACACAACACTTTATCTCTATGCCTATTTCCTAATGCATTTATTGTGTGTTTCCTTACAAAAGAAAGAAGGAAGGGCTGGAGTAATGGTTCAACAGTTAAAATACTGGTTGCTCTTTCAAGAGACTGGGGTTCGCCCAACTGCCTATCACTCCAGTTCCAGGGGATCTGATGCCCAGTTCTGGCTTCCATGGGCATCAGGCACGCATATGATTCACATACATATATGCAGGTAAACATTCATATACATAAAATAAATCTTTTAAATTTATTTATTTTCATGTGCATTGGTGTTTTACCTATATGTTTCTTTGTGTGAGGGAGTCAGATCCCCTGAACTAGAGTTATAAGCACTTGTGAGCTGTCAAGTGGGTGCTGGGAATTGAACCTAGATCCTTTGGAATGGCAGTGGTACTCTTAACCTCTGAGTCATTTCTCCAGCCCCCATAAAATAAATCTTAAAGAGGGCATAGATATCAATACATATTTTGAAGATAGTTTAACAGATCCTCAGCAACCAGTTAAAGCTACTATGACAGTGTGTGGCTAGAACCCTAGAGCAGGCAAGTATCTAGAGCTTGATGGCAGGTCTGTCAAGCCAGTCAGAGAACTCTGGGCTCAGTGTGAGACCCTGTCTCAAGACAAACAAAGGGACAGAAAGGGCCAGCGAGATGGCTTGGCAGGTAAAGGAACCTGCTGCTAAGCTTGACAGCATGAGTTTGACCTCTGCAGCTCACATGACAAAAAGCTGACTTCCACAAGTTGTCCTCTGACTTCTACACGCATGCCATGTCACATATGCATGCATATGTGCACACACAAACACGTGCAATAAATATATAAAATTGAACTTTTTAAAAAAGTAATGGAATGCCAGGCTGGGGTGTAACTGAGCAGTACAGTGTTTGTCTTGGTATGAGCAAGGCCTGAGGTTCAATCCTTAGCACTGCAAAATGAAAACCTTAGTAAAGCCTGGAGGACAGAACCATAATCACAGCTGTTTCAGACAGAAGGGCAGAAGGGTCACAGTTCAAGGCTGGGCCAAGACCAACGCGGACAAAACTCAGCAGCAGAATGCTTGCCTACCAAACTTCAGGCCCTAGGTTCCTCTGTCTGTCTCTCTCTCTCTCTCTCTCTTTCACACACACACATACATACACACACACACACACACACTCATACACACACTCAGTCAGTTAAACAAAGCACATTACAGATTACATAGAGTGTGATAAACTTACACATAGTTAAAAAACAGGTAAAATTACACATTACACATATCTACATAAGAATTATATAGCGTAAGAATTATTAATAGGTAGAAACTAGGAAATAGAATTCCAGTATTTTGCTAGTAGCTTTTCGTGTGTCCCCTCAAGTGGCAAATGAGAATAAAACAAGGAACAACGTCAGCTGGCTCCCAGACCTGGAGAAGGCAGGGATACAGGCTGATGTCATCAGTGTTTTGGTAACTTCAAAGACTCAAGAGAGCTCAATGTCAAATTCTTTCTAAAGATCACATGAAGAATGTAATTGAAAGATTATCCTGGTGTGGTGGCACACTGGGAGGCAGAAGCAGCAGCTCTCTGAGTTTAAGGTCAGTTTACATAGTACACCCTGACTCAAAAACAAAACAATAATAAATAAGAAAGGAAGGAAGATGCAGTATGCTTACTTATACTACCAAGATCAAAGACAGACATTCAGAAAAGAAAATCCAATCTAATCTTACATGGCTCCAGTTTTGGAGATAGGGCAAGTATATTCTGCCTTTGGCGTCCACATGTTTTCCAACTGAGATTTCCATGTTTGCAGTTGGCTTCAAGAAGCAAATGGGTGGAGCAAAAGGGTGAGAATCCAAAATCCAGAAGCGAATGGGTATGTTGTACGTATTACCTGTTGGAGACACATAAACAATCATGACACATACGTATGCATGTACAATGCCGCTAGGTGCTATTTTAGAAACAGGCAGCCAGGCACAGTGGTAAGAGCTTATAATTCAACCTCAGGATGCTGAGGTTCCAGGAAGACTGAGTTTGAACTCAGTCTAGACAGCATCAAGACCCTGCCTCAATATAAAAAAAGGGCTGAAATGGAGTTCACAAGTAGAGTTTTGGCTAGTGTGCGTGAGGCCCTGCGTTCAGTCCCAAGTACAGAGATAAAAGGAAGAAAAGGTAGCCAAGCCTACGGTGTGTAAAGGATGGGTGTAAATCAGGCTGCTTTTCCTTTTCTCTACATTGGGAAGAGGGTCTCACTGCAGCACCAGCACAACAGAAAAACCGACAGTGGCCAACTCTTCAGTTCAGAAGCAACTGACAGGACGTGCTGCACTGTAAGCTTGGGACACAAAACTTTTCCGGGGTAGTTTCCTCTGCTCGTCCCAAGCAGAGACATGGTCGCCTCTACTTTTCTATCTGTTCTACCCTGAAATCATTTGCTTACCCAGCCTGCCTTTCTACTGTGGATTCTCTCTCATTCGTTTCTCTATCCCTAGCATGAGGTACTATGCCAGCTGCTAAATAAGTCTGTCATATAGGTAAGGACAAACGAGCTGACTGCAGTTCGGGTACTTGCCCTCAAGCAGCTCAGGAATTACAGCTGCTGTGAACCATGAGCTGAGCTAGACACACAGAACTTAGAGGAGAAGCTGAGCCACCTTTCCTTAGTGACCCTTCAATTGTAGAGCATGTCAGAAGGCTGCAGGAAACTGAAACCATGCAGATTCCAGAACTGAGTGAGGGAGGGGAGGGCCAAAACGCTCTGCATTTTCTTTTTCTTTCTTTATTTATTATGTATACAGTGCTCTGCCTGCATGCTTTCCTGCAGTCAGAAGAGGGCACCAGATTTCATTACAGATGGTTGGGAGTCAGTATGTGGTTGCTGGGAATTGAACTCAGGACCTCTGGAGGAACAGTCAATGCTTTTAACCTCTGAGCCATTTCTCCAACCCCAACCCTCTGCATTTTCAACAACTCAACATACACCTACACTCCAAAAGTGAGAGGGGGATAGGGTTCTGAACAACACCCACACCCGCACCCAATGGTACATGAGTCTTTTACAAACACTATTCTTTAGAAGCACTCCAAATTCTTTTCAGGAAAAGACACAAACTTATGATAACAGGTCAAAGATGAGTCAATGGGTCTAACTCAGCAGATCATCTGCCTGGTGTGTGAGGCCCTGGGTTCAAATGCCAGCATTGCAATTATGTTAGATCAGGACTGATCAAGGCCACATGAAAAATAAGAGACCAACCTAAACAGAGGCAACTTTCCTTTATCTAGAACAATAAAGGAGGGACAGCCATCTCTCTGTGGGAATAGGGACTGTGCCCAGACACAGGGGCTTGACAAAGGAACTTTGAGGGTAGACATTTTTATTGGTCGACTTCTTCTTTGTAGTCTTGGGGCCAAGTACTGCCAGTGGATGTTGTTCTCATGGCCTGATCTTATCAGTCCACTCCTGGCTGCCTGCAGGCTTCTCATTACTAGACTTTCCTGTCAGCCAGGTGCTCTTACCACAACTCTGGGAGTTCCTCAGCTCATGTGAGGCTCTGTTTAACCCTTTACCACAAAATAAACCACTTTGGAGGAAGAGAGAGACATGACTGCATGCTCTTCCGATTTTAACCATGTAGGTCATACCTTCCAAGAATCAGTGCCTGCCTTGGTTGCCATGAAGCCCAAAGCTAAATCCAATGTTAAGTGAAAACTAAACTTCTGACCAGACATCTAAAATTTAATTATTCTATCCTTAACAATCATTCCTGCTTCACAGTCTATGCCTTACACTGCATTGAGAGCATTCTGCTCAGGACCAGGATTCCTGCTTCAGCATACTAGCTGTGTGACTTCACCCAAGATACTTAGCTTCTTTCTGCCTCCATCCTTTCCTCTGTAAAATGACAGTAATAATACCTGGTCTTACTTCATGGCACTGTTGAGATGAGTCCATGTATGTAAGATGCCTGTTACAGGGCACGACATGACAAACACTGTGAGCTCTTCTTTTAAACCACTTCATGGTAATCTGTTTCATACTATGGAAACCTTCTTTCAGGTAAAAGCTACTTTTCTCATCTTGTTTCCTCCCCTCTAAGCACAACACTCAGCATGACTATGTATTTTATAAACACGTAAAGCACTTTGCCCATCTCCCTCACCATTCTGATGCAACCCAACAGGATATAGACAACGCTGGGATTAAAGGCGTGTGCCATCATCACCCGGCCTAGACAACATTTCTTAAAATCTTCCCTTGCCTTGCTAATGTGCATCCAGGACTGCAACGAACACACTACAGACATGTTAAAACCTGGCAATCTACCGGTTTTATATTGGTCTTTCTCAGAACCATCCCTTTATTTTTACCTAAGTATTTACAAGGTGGGTATGGGCATACCCCTATCTGTTGGCCCAGAGAGAATCCTATGATTACAAAACCATGTGACCACAGACCACAAAGTGAGTGACAAGTACAGAGACACACCACCATACTCCAGAAGGTAGTTATGGTCAAAGGTGACAAACCTGGAGCAGAGCTTTCCAAGTGGCAGCTGCAATAACCACTCGTGAAGTGTGTAAAGCCCAATGCTTGAACTCCAGTATTGGAGTGGGGGAGTACTGCAAACAGTCTTACTGCTCTGATGGAAACGGCACAGGGCTCAGTGACCACACGCAGCGCGTCAGCACCGCACGGGACTAACCCCTTCTTGAGGCTGGGCTGTGGAATGCAGCACAGTGGTAGAGGCTGGCATGTGAGGTGTGTGGAGTCTGAAACCCAGCTCTGTGAGGGGGAACCACAATACCCCAAAACAGTGACTATTAAAATGGTAAAATTGAGGGGCTGGAGAGATGGCTCAGATGTTAAGAGCACTGGTTGCTCTTTGGCTGCTCTTCCAGAGGTTCTGAGTTCAATTCCCAGCAACCACATGGTGGCTCACAACGATCTGTGATGAGATCTGGTGCCCTCTTCTGGTGTGCAGGCAGACAGAGAGAACACTGTATACATAATAAATAAATAAATAAATAAATAAATAAATAAATAAATAAATAAATAGATAGATAACTAACTAAATAAATAAATCTTTTATAAATAATAAAATGAAAATCAGCAGAGTACTAAGAATTATTCTCTTGCCTTAAAACAAATTACTTGAAACAGTTTCCTTCCCCATCTCTTTCCCTCATTCCCTTTCTTCTTAATGTCTAACCAAGTAGAGAGCGAAGGAAACGACTCCCAGGTACGAGTGATTCTGACAGGCAGCAAAAAGGCTGAGATCCCAGCAGGAAAGAGAGAAGGAAAGCGAGGGCAGATGAGCGCTGCCTGTCCTACCTCCCACTCTGCAGCCTCGGCAGAGCCTATGGCCAAGGCTTTCATCTTCAATCGCAGGCAGAAAAAAGCCTCTGCACATTTGTGGAAAGTTACTAGCTGGCTGGGGAGACAGGAAATAGGGAGGCTTACGATGGTCTAGGAATTAACATGGGGAAATGCCTGGTATTTAAAGAAGTCTTCCAAAATCTCACTGTCCAATGTTGAACCCTTTAAGAGATTTTTTTTCTCCTATTTGATTGGTCTCCCAAAGCCCTCTTCTCTTTCTATCAGGTTCATTTAGTCCCATCCCTTCCAGTCAGTAATCAAGTAAACCACACCAGGAGAAACACTTGCTGATAATTTCTAGTATCGGTTACTGTGTATCAGTCATTCCCAGCGGTGCTCTCTCGGGGCTGATCTGCACTGTGAATGAATGACATTTTGTTTTGTTGGAGATGGGGTTTTTGGCCCTACTGTCTCACATCCTAGGTCCAGGATTGCAAGTGTACTGCTTCCCACACAGCCACAACAAATGCTGAATGGTGGGACTGTGGGCCCTGCTTCAGGGAACCGCTCTGCTCTGAGCAGAGCTGGGCTGCTGTCTTTCTAATGGCATCGCATAGCCGATCTTCCACTACACCAAAGGTTACATTGTTGAACAGAACAGCAGGTAGGGAACAGTTAAGTACAGAAACTGTTAATGATTTCTTTTCTTTCTTTTTGAGCAAATCCTTACTATCTCAGGCGTCACTGAACTCTAAAATGCCCAGTGATGCAGGACAACAGCCGTGACCAGGCTGAGATTCAGTTTTATCTACAGAACAGAGCAGGACAGAGCGGGACAAGCATGGATGCCAATGGGAAAGCACAGGCCTCTGGCACTCCACCACTGACAGCAAGGCCCTCTCTCCCCAGTGCATGTCACACTTGTCATGTTCTCGTCTGTCTTCAGACCCCAGCCTAGTGGACAGTATTCAACAAGTATATCTTAAACAGAATTAGCATTGATCTAGGCCTTCTTTGACACATACAGGATCCCGCCAGATCTGCTAAGGTCCTGACCTGACAAACCTCAGGAGTATGTCAAAACAGTGGTGTGCTCTAAGGAATTGAGCTGAGAAGTCCCACATTCTCTCAGCTTCTGGACTTACCCTGATACATCACAGGAATAGTACCAGTGAAGTTCAGCAGATCTTTTTGGGAAGTATCTTTGAAAACTAGAAGAAAAAGTTTCAAAATGTCAGTGAGAAGAGAGAACAGCAATCAATGTGTGTGGCTGCACATACAAATTATGCAAAAATAAATAAAGAAGTAAGAAAGAGGTGTAAAAACATAAAACTTGGACACTGAAATCCAAGTTCAAAGCCCACCTACCCCTCTTAAGAGACATGTTCCTTGCCAGGCATGGTGTCCTACACTTGTAACCCCAGCACTTGAGAGGTAGAGACGGAACTGCCATGGGCTCAAAGTCAGCTTAGCCAGGGGTACATACTGATCCTGCTTCAAGTGCTGGAGTATAGCTCAGTTGGTAGAATATTTGGTAGTATTCGTGAAGCCCTGGCTTCAACCTCCATCACCAAAGAAAATAGCGAAGGTGCCTGCTCGTGATCCCAACACTCAGGAGATGGAGGCTGGGGATCAGAAGTTCAAGGCTATCCCTGGCTACATGGCAAGTTTTGAGATTAAAAAAGAAAAGAAACGTAATTTGGAAGCTCTTCAGACCAAATAATCAGTAATCCAAATAATGCAGCAAGGACTAGAGGATGCTCCCCGTACCGTAGGTGTCCATGGAATATCTGAAGTGCGGGAAAAACATGTTCACATTCTTCAGCTCTTCTACCGTCAGATCCCTGAACTTGTACTGAAATGAGAGGAGCAAGCAAGAAATGAAAATAAAAGTGTGAACAAGACTAACGCCTGATGGATGCCAGGCCCAGGGCAGGGCTTTACCACTGTGGGGGTCGCCAGTATTTGGCTCATTATTAATCTGAGACAGGCTCTCTCTTTAGAGTTCAGGCTGGCCTCAAGCTGGCCATCTCCCTGTCTCAGCCGCCCAAAGGTTAGGAATGTAGGTGTCCACCACCAAGTCTTTCCGATCTGCTCTTTTAAACCATGGTGCTAAGGAGTAAGCAGAGTTTACAACTGCTCTATTTTATAAAATAATATCTAGAGAATCCACGACATTTGCTAAGTCAGACACCAAGTAAAGTAGTAAACCCCAAGCTTAACCCAAGACCTATGCCTTGATTAGTTAAGTCTATATGTCTCCAAATACCCCGGAAGCTTATGTTTTAAGGTGATCTATCAGGGAATAGAGTATTGTAATTAGGGAACTAAAGTTGGTTTTTTTTTTTTTTTTTTTTTTTCCTGAGACAGAGTTTCTCTGTAGCTTTGGAGCCTGTCCTGGAACTAGCTCTTTTTTTTCTTTTTTATTGATATTTATTAAGCTCTACATTTTTCTCTGCTCCTCTCCCCCCTTCAACCCTCCCAAAGGTCCCCATGCTCCCAATTTACTCAGGAGATCTTGTCTTTTTCTACTTTCTACTTAGTGTCTCTCTTAGTGTCCACATTGTTGTCTAAGTTCTCTGGGATTGTGGTTTGTAGGCTGGCTTTCTTTGCTTTATGTTTAAAAACCACCTATGAGTGAGTGCATGTGATAATTGTCTTTCTGTGTCTGGGTTACTTCACTCAAAATAGTGTTTTCTATGGAACTAGCTCTTGTAGACCAGGCTAGCCTCTAACTCACAGAGATCCGTCTGCCTCTCCCTTCAGAATTAAAGGAGTGCGCCACCACCGCCAGGCTTGAAAACTAAAAGGTGTAAAAGTGTCCCAACAAAGAGAGACACCAGCACGTCCAAGAAAACAAGCTCAACGGAAATCTGAACCTTCAGGACCACTAGCAAAGTAACTAACTTTTGACCGAGAGGGCTCTGGCTGCCCGTGGGCAGGAATCAGGAATGCTGAGCATCCGGCCTCTGGGATGCAGGTGAGACCTGACGGTGGGGGAGCCCTCCAGCTTTCTACAGTCAAGCTGTCTGCGGAGGTCTCTCCTCGTGGGCGCCTACGCTGTGGCCACAGCCTAGGTGAGCGCAACACAGAAACAAGAGCACAGTCAGTCCAGAAGGAAGCACTGCGCAGAATCGATCGCTTCCAGCGTGTGATAATCGGGACTTTCCCAAGCGGTCACCTGCAGGGAGTGACTCATTCAAGGGAAACGAGGGGTCGCCAGCCTCTGACCCCACACCCGAAGGCTAAGGCAGGGGACTGCTGCAACTTCCCAGCCAGCCTGGGCAACAGCATGAGTCGACGACTGGGGGGGGGGGGTATGGGGGCTGGGGGGCGTCGAGGGAGGGTGTGAGCTGGGGCAGCGTGACGTGACGAGGACGCTGGGACCCGCCCGGCCCGCCGCCCGCCCGCCCGCACGCACGCACGCCCGCACCTTGCCCAGCAGCCGCCTCACGGCCTCACAGTCAAACTCCATGGCCGGCAGAGTCGCGGTCCTCGGCTGCACCGGCCGCGCCTACTCCCGAACCTGCTGCGGGACGGAGGCCGCCGAGGCTCAAACGTCCGCAGAGGACGGTCCCCGCCCCTTCCAGTTGGCCGATTCCCGCAGGATGCACGCCTGGGCGGTGCTCGGAGCCAGGCGTTGACCGGAACCCGGAGCCCTCCTTCCAGCCGGGGCGACTCCGGCGGGTTCTGAGCCCAAAAGCCGAAGATGGGAAACAACCCGGAGCTCCGGGGACCGCAGCGCCCTGCCAGGCGGAAAAACACCTCGGCTTCCTGAGGGAAACTTAGCTAGGAAGAACCCATGAGCAAACAGGTGCAAGCAAATTCCGGGAAGACTTGATTTCAGCCCAGAATGCGAGCGGTGGGGCGCGGAGGGGACGGACGATCAAAACCAAAAACTGTAGCTGGATTTGGATGTTCAAAATCAAAGTTTTGGAGTAGTTAGGGGTAGATGAGAAATCTAGTGGAGTCTCGTCAGATAACTGAGCTAGTGAGGCCGATGATAAAAAAGACCGAAAGGCCAAGACGACGTGGGTAAGGGAAAAAGTCCCCTCATTTATCTGGATTTGGTTAATTTCTACGAAGAGTCAAGAATTTCTAAAAAAAAAAAAAAAAAATTCGAAGCCGGGCGGTTGGTGGCGCACGCCTTTAATCCCAGCACTCGGGAGGCAGAGGCAGGCGGATCTCTGTGAGTTCGAGGCCAGCCTGGTCTACAAAAGCTAGTTCCAGGACAGGAACCAAAAGTTACGGAGAAACCCTGTCTCGAAAAATCAAAAAAAAAAAAAAAAAAATTTCGACAAGAGCCCTTGGTGCACCTCCAGAGGACAAGAATTCGATCTCAGCACCCACATGCCAACTGTCTACTGCTCCGGCTGCCTTCTTCTGGCCCCCACTGGCACCTGCAGGTAAAACCCTCATACATGTAAAGTAAAAATAAATTTAAAAAAGTAATAATTTTGACATGACTGACCAAAAGTGAAATTCTCTTTCCTGAAAGCAGCACAGGATTATTAAAATGGCTGGTAAGCTATGCTTACAATCAGTCAAAACCCATCCACCTGTGAAACCTGTGCATCGCAAGATGGCTTTCATTCTTTTGATCCATGCCTGCACATCACACCTCATACATCCCCTTATAATATCACCTACCGTAGAAGAATCCCGTGAGGAAATAAGCATACCACCATATTTAAGAATTAGTCTTATAGACCGCCTTCCTTAAACCACATAACATGCTGTGTTTCGTATTTTTGCCTAATAAACTGCCTTTTTCATTCTAACTTTTCCTGAAAGTCTTTGTGCAGCAGGGGTCAGGATCCCTGCTGCACCCGAGGGAGACTCGGGCTGAGGTTCCTCTGGCTTCATAGCTAGCAAAATCCATCTTTGTTTCTGGTAGAGTGCACTCACAGTAACTTGCTGGAAATGCAAATTCCTGAGGCTGGAGAGATGGCTGGGCAAGTTATGTCAATTGTAACTCTGGCTCCAGGCCTGTGGCCTCCCAGGGCACCAGCACTCAAGAGCACAGACACACATATGTTGGGGAATATTATTATCAGGTGTGTGACCTTTGTTTAACTCTGTGAAGTTGTGTTATTGTGCCTGTCTAGAACACCTGATGGTTCTAATAAAGAGATGAACGGGGCCAAAAGTGAGGCAGGAGTAAGGGTAGGCAGGGCTGGCAGGCAGAGAGTATAAATTCAAGGCAAAATCTGGGAAGGAGAGAGAAGGAGGAGCAGAGAAGAAGAGGGGAGGATATCAGGTCAGCCACCCAGCCAGTCACAGAGTAAGAAGGAAAGAAAGGTATACAGAAATAGATAAAGATAAAAGCCCAGAGGCAAAAGGTAGTCAGAATAATTTAAGAAAGTTAAGAAAAGCTGGCAAGAAACAAGCCAAGCTAAGGAGCTAAGGCCGTGTATTCATAACTAAGAACAAACCTCCATGTGTGATTTATTTGGGAACTGGGTAGCAGATCCTTCAGAAAAGCCAAAAGAAAGCTGGATGGTAGTGTCACATGCCTTTAATCCCAGCACTCGGGAAGCAGAGGCAGGTGGATCTCTGTGAGTTAGAGGCTAGGCTAGTCTACAAGAGCTAGTTCCACGTCAGGCTCCAAAGCTACAGAGAAACCCTGTCTTGAAAAAAAAAAAAAAAAGCCAAAAGAGTAAAACATTATACAACACACATATATAATTTAAAGAGTGCAGGTGGAGCGGAGAGGTACTTTAGCTGTTTGCTGCAGCTTGCTGCACTTACAGAGAAGTAAGGTTCTATTCCCAGCCCCCACATGGCAGCTCACAACTACCTCTATCTTCAGCTCCAGGGGTCTGATGTCCTCTTCTGGCCTTCTCAGACACCAGGCACGCCCATTGGGGCGTGGTCTCACTCCCTTTAAAAAAGCGGCTATTTCCTCTGCTCGCTCTCTTCTCTTACTGCTCCGCTGGAGACGAGACTCCCTTCCTGGTTGCGCAGATGGCTGTTGTCTGGGATTGTGATCTGTAAGTTTTTCCCCTTTAAATAAATAACACCCTATTAATCATAACTCCAAACTGGTGTTGCCTTGTTCGTGACTTACGCCTTCACTCTACACTAAAAAGAAAGAATAAGTTTTATCATATGTAGATTATACTTCAGTAAGACTTCACATTAAGAAAAATGAAAGAAAACAGCCAGGTGGAGGTGGTATATGCCTTTAATCCCAGCACTCGGGAGGCAGAGGCAGGCAGATCTCTGAATTTAAGGCCGGTCTAATCTACTGAGTGAGTTCCAGGACAGCCAGGGCATGCAGAGAAACCCTGTCTCAAAAAGCAAAACAAAAGAAAAACAAAAAGAAGAAAGCTAGACATTGTAATGCATGCCTTTAATCCCAGAACTCAGAAGGCAGAGGCAGATGAATCTCTGTGAGTTTCAGGGCAGCCAGAGCTACACAGAACTTGTGTTTAAAAAAAAAAAAAGTGTAGGTATTGTTGTTTATTTTGAGATGGTCTTGCTAGGGAGCTCTGACTGGAAGGGAATTTGCTAAGTAACCATGCTGGTTTAAACTCAGCAATTGTCCTGCCTTAACCTTCCTAGTGCTGGGACTGCATACACCACGTGTGGTTTGTAAGACTCATTTTAATGACTTGGGTGTATCCTTTGGTCGGGGGGAGGAGCAAGTTTCTCATTCGTGCATGAAGTACGGTCATCTTTAGCAGAACTACGCAAGAAGACCTTCTATACATATGGTGTTGCGTGTACGTAGAACAACATGGGTGCCTGGCGGTCAGACATAACAAAATGTGTTGCTATGCTTGTCAAAAGTGAGGTCTTCGACGGTGTCTGCGTGAGCATCTACATTCCAAACTAGGGGCTGGATCAGAAGGAGACACATGGGAAAGGTGTGGGCCACTCATCTAGGAAGTTTGATCATAAAAGGAAATCGACCACAGGACAGTTGGGAAGAGAACAGTTGTATCAACTGGAGGCTTTTTTGAGAAAAGGCCAGGGATTCCTCTGGCTTCTGATAACCAAAAAAGAGGACCAGTGGAGAATGGACCATGGGTGAAGAATGTAAGTACCAAGTGATTTGAGGGAATATCCCTCCTCTTAAAGGGACCCCATCTAAAAGATAGGAAGAGAGGTCCTGTAAGCACACAATAGAAGTAGATGGAAGAAATGGGTTAAGGGTCCAAGGACAGTGTTGGCTACATAGCAAGTTTGAGGCCAGCCTGGAATACAAAATAAAGTAAAGTAAAACAAAATAGATGTGTCACTTTCCCTAGACCCCAGTTTTTTTCATCGTCAGCTGTTGTAGTGACACGCCCTTTCAAACCTGTTCTCACGTGAGTGTGTCCTGGTGCCCCTAGTGTAAGGCATCTGGGCTTTCTGGACTTTGATTTTTCTCACTAGTGAAATAGTGCTATGGGGATGGTGCCTACCTTGTGGCAGTGTTGTGCCGGGAAGTACAGGAAGAACTCACAGGGCTGAGGTACTGTCTGGGGGAAGGGTCGCTAGCGTGTCAAACCCAAGCCACATGACCAATGATGTCACAATGCCTTCCCAGACTCCAACTTGAGAGTCTCAGATCCTTTGGAATCAAGGAATGGAACTAGCGTGCGACACGTCTATCAACTGAAGGTTTCATGAGTTCGCGCCTTTGCCAAGATCTTGGCGAACAGTCTCTCACCGTGTGATTGTAGCTCAGAAATTATTTTTCTTTTGGTGATGATCGTGCTGGGCTGGATTCTTTTTGTTGGGCTTGCATCCTACATGGGGACATTTCCAGAGGTGATGGTAAGCACCAGCTTTGCATCCCAGCTACTTCGGGCTCAGCTTTATGCTCCCGTCTGGGATTTCTGACCAAACAGGGAAAGTCGTTGAGGTTTTTACCAACTGGAAGTCAGGAACATCTCATCCCATTGGGGCATCCTTCTTTGGAGGGTTTAATACCCCTCCACCTGCTTTGATAATGTCATTCGTATCTAGGCATTATGGCATTTTTTTTTTAAAAACAGCTTTTTTTTTTTTTTAACAGTTCTGCTGGTCACAGTGCCTAACTTCAGAGTTTCAAGCCAAGCAGATGAGGAGTTTCTATTAGGGACAATGGGATGAGGCATTCCCTAACAAGCTCCTTCGTTCACCACACAGAAACACTGACTTCCCACCGGGTTAATGAGTGGTGGGAATTTTCTTTCTCTAAGTTTCTACCTCTAATTTTCTTTCTGACTCAGCCTCCGACTCTAAAGTGGAAAGAGGGGTTGCCTGTTTGGGAGACCAAGGCACGGCGGAGAAGCCAAGCTTTGGAGGATGAGCTGCTGCTGCTGCTGTGAGATCAGGTCTGTTGGGCTGGGTCCCTGTCCGTAGAATGCTCCAACACCCTTCCCAGACACAGGCCAACTGTGGAGGGGATAGCTGTAGATGTGTATTGTGGGGAGGACTGGGGGGTACTGCTGGGGAAAGCTGGCTGAGAACCAGCTGCCTGTAAATAACCATGCCTCCCAGGGTTCCTTTTTTTTTTTTAAAGGTTTATTTTTATTATGTATACAACATTCTTCCTCCATGTATGCCTGCACGCCAGAGGAGGGCACCAGATCTCAGTACAGATGGTTATGAGCCACCATGTGGTTGCTGGGAATTGAACTCCGGTCCTCTGGAAGAGCAGCCAGTGCTCTTAACCTCTGAGCCATCTCTCCAGCCTCCCCAGGGTTCCTTCTGATAAATTCCACGTCCATTATTTCACAGACACTATATTATATTAGCCTATGTTAATTATGTATTTTATCCTACATACACATGTGTTATAGTAAAAGGGTCTGTATATCCATGTGTATAGCCGACTTTGATCGTAGTACCCCTCCTCTCTCCTCTCGTTTTCCTCCCTCATCTCCCTTCTCTTCCTAAATAGATCCTTTTTTTCTCTCTCCTTTTTTGAGACAAGGACTCGCTATGGACCCCTAGGAGCCCACTACGTAAACCAGGCTGTCCTCACACTCGAACACAGAGATGCCCCTGCCTCTGCCTCCGGAGTGCTGGGGTTGCAGTCGTGGGCCACCGCGCACGGCTTGGATGGAAATGCCATCCTGTCACCGCCTTGTTTTGTGCACGCTTAGACACTTCTCAGCCTCCTGCCCCTTCACGACAGCCATATCCGGCAACACCCTGACCATGTTCCAGATGTATTAACCAGAATCATTAATGCTTGTCCACGCTAAAACATAAAGCTAAAATGACTGAAAGGAAGCGTAAATCAAAGCTAATACCACGTGGTGTCTTGAAAACATGCCGAGTTTTGCAAGAGAACAGATGTTACTAGGTCACTCCAAATCCTTCACCGGTGTAATTGTGGCTTTTATCTTTAAAAACTGCACACCTGAGCGTGGACACTGAGACATTTTGGATTATGTCTCCAAAATTAATGGCCTACTCTTGGTATGGCCATTAATAAAAAGACTCATGCTATCCATGGGCTTTGTCACACGGCTGTCAGGAGCCCTTGCCTGGACCATTTCCAGATGCCCCTTCTAGAGAGCTGGGAAGCTAGAGTTAACAGGAACCTGAGATCAAGACCCAACTTTGCAACTTACTGCATGAACTGGGGAGGTTTAAGTCCTCTGAACGTCAGTTCATTCGTTGGTACGATGGAAACTATTTCGGCCTTTTACAATTTTTGTGAATATCACATTTGGGAATCCATGTAAGGTGTCTACACATTTGGGAATCCATGTAAGGTGTCTAATGCAAACGTTGAAAATTAGTAAACTACAGATTTAACGAAGTGAAATGAGAACCAATTAGCATTTATAGATGATGGGTGGCCTTGGGTACACACAACACTCAGCCAGCTCATTGTGGGGGTGCAAGCCGGACCTCTGAACATCTCACACTCCTTCCACTGCAACCAGGGAGACCCCCTTTCTGCAGGCCCTCTCCTGTACTTCTGCCAATTCGCCCATTTCAGAGCAGTTAGCATTGCAGGAGGAAGTTTACTCTTGGTAGTCTTTTTGTTTGTCAAGACAGAGCTTCTCTGTAGCCCTGGTTGTCCTGGAACTGACTTTGTAGACCAGACTGGCCTTGAACTCACAGAGACTTGCCTGTGTGGGATTATAGGCATGTGCCACCACCACGTGGCTTCTCTTGGTAGTCTTAATTTGCTGACTCGAGAGCAGAAGGATTTGTAGGGAAACTACTTCAGAAGGCAAGGGATGGTGGCCCTGGCCCCAGGTATAGTAAGAGCGGGAAATGAGAGCTGGCCTTCTGTTCTCCCTCAACCCACTGGCTCAAAGCTATCCCATTGGGTGTGTGAGAAGTGACACTTGTTCAGCCAAGCCGCTGCCACAGAATGTGACTCTAAGCCACTGGAATTATTTTGTGCTTGGGAAAGAGCGCCGTAAGCAGCCGATATCATCCTTCTGTTCCTTTCCCAGGGAGGTATTAGGAGGTTTAGCTGGATGAGGGTTGGATTGCCATCTTACAAAATACGAGACTTCTTTAGGTGGCTTAATTATAGCCTTATAAATAAAGCTGTTGTCCACCTAGTTTATTAATTCCCCTAATAAGTCCAGGTGGTTTTTATGTGTCACAGAAGTCTTTTTCTGCCTTTGATTTGTTTAAGCCAATGCGTATGTTATGTAATGGCTTATTAAGGTTCTAAACAGAGAAGAGCTCCCTTCTGAGGTTTCTTTCAACCCAAAGTACCTCTGTCCTGGCCAACCTATTGATGCTCTCACCTGGAGGCCCAGTGACACAGGGACTGATATCATAATTGGTGCCTGAGCTTTACCTCCCCAAATGGCCATTTTAGTTTAGTCTAGGCCACAAAGTTCACCAGTCAGGAACTGCCATGCTGGGCCAGACACCATCTGGTCTGGAATGAAGCCAGACAGAGCCCCAGGATCCTGTGAATAGAACCAGGCCTTCCAGTAACCGCTCCCCGCCCGCAGCAGCCAAGAACAAGAAGGCCCACAATGATCGTTGTTTTATGGATGATTCTCATTGCAGGAACGATGTGGAGGGGATATAAATATCCCCCAGGAGAGGTAAGTGTACATTTGACTTCTTTACTGTCAGAGTCTCTAGCATTAATGCGGAAAGCATGAAAATCTGGTCCTAATAACTTTAAAAACATTCTCTTTAGTAGTTGAGAAAAAGTTTCTGGAATATGCCTGCTTCTACTGTTAGCCACTCTGCTTAGAACAGGGAGCTTTCCAGCTTCCTAGAATGTACTTCTAAAGGGCAGATGTCTCACTCGGCCAAGGATGGTCTGGAGCTAGCAATAGAGCCAAGATTGCCTTGGTTCTCCACCTCCCGACTGCTGAGATTGCGTAGTGCTGCAGGTGAGAGCCAGGACCTCTTGCACGCTGGGCACCTACCATGTGAACTATACACCTCAGTTTCTCAGGTGTGTTCATACACATACTTTATTTTTTAAAAGACTGGCGGTTTAAAGCTAATCTCTGCCAAATGCAGACAAAATGTTTAAAAATGTCTTTGGGGCTGGAGATGGCTCAGAGTTTAAGAGCACTGGCTGCTCTCCAGAGGTCCTGAGTTCAATTCCCAGCAACCACATTGGGTGGTTCATGGCCATCTATAGTGGGATCTGGTGCCTCTTCTGGCAGACCACTATATACTTAATAAATAAAATCTTTAAAAAAAGGGCAACATCATTTAAAAAAAATGTTTAGTCTTCAATATTACTTCCTACATCAGCCCACCAAGCCCAGGTGGTAGACACCTCTGCCCTCTGCCAGTTCCCACAGTGCCGAGCACTTTTTGGTGGCAAGCATAAAATGCTTTGGGTAACAGGATGAGGCACCTGCCTCAGCCCTACAGCTTAGCCTAGCAATGCTAGTCTTCTGACATATGCTTTTTCTTTTCCTCCCAGACCCCCTTGGAAGTGAACAAAGATGACCCTGGTGAAGTCATGCAGCTGTGAACAACACCCAACTGCCCAGTTCCTGTTGTAGGTTTCACATAAAGTAATCGCACATTATTTTGTCAGATTCTGTGTAGTTACCACGCGTTTTAAGATGGACAAAGACAATATTCTCCTAACAGAGATAGAGGGTGCGTTGGTAGGTGGGAGTGAGTGGGTGATGGTCAGGTCCTATTTGTCAAAGCCTCTAAGGCTGAGACACCTCCTTTAAATTGTCCCCTCTTGAGTAATCATAAGTAATGATTTTTAGGCCCACTTCCCAAATACTATATCCCATCCCAAATCCTGAGTCCAAAAGTAAAAATTATCCCATGGGACTCATTTAAATACAGAGGGGAGATGCTAAGGTGGTATTCAGCCCTCACCCAGACCTGCTGAAGCTGGGTCTTGGCCTCACTTGAAGTGACCGAAGAGAAGTTGAGGCTCAGGTATCTTTTCAGCACAGACCTGGACACAGTAGAGATGCAGATGCAGGCTTCTTCCAGGAACACCCATGTGTTGTGTGCTAAGGAAATGGTCTCCCTCACCTGAAGTTATCCAATGATCCTTTTAAAAGATTTTTAAAATTATTTTAAATTATAGGTAGGTGTATGTGTAGGTCTGCATTGGAATGCAACAGAGGCCTCAGTTTCCCCCTGGAGTTAGTTATAGGTGATTGTAAGCTGCCAATGCAGGTGCAGGGAATGGGCTCAGGTCCTCCCCAAGAGCTCTTGGGTAATTTGTGCTCTTAAGCCCAGCCACCTCTCCAGACAACATATGTATAAACAAAACCTAGCTGCAGCTCTCAACATGGATGCAGTAAATTTAAATCCAGGGCTAGAAGCCTAAGCACAAAATCAGCAGTTAGTAAACCAGGAGTCTGAGCATCGGTATCTTACCCTCTAAAAATGAGATCAGGGAGGTGGTGGTGGGGAGGGGAAGAACATTTCGGTGACTGATGGTTCCACTGTACAAGAGAACAGGCATACCCAGCAAAGTATTCCGGTCGTTTACACAGAAAACATTATTCCTACCATTTGTTAAGAGTTACTCTGTGCCGGGCGGTGGTGGCGCATGCCTTTAATCCCAGCACTCGGGAGGCAGAGGCAGGCGGATCTCTGTGAGTTCGAGACCAGCCTGGTCTACAGAGCTAGTTCCAGGACAGGCTCCAAAGCCACAGAGAAACCCTGTCTTGAAAAACAAAAAAAAAAACAAAAAAAAAAAAAAAAGAGTTACTGTGTGTGTGTGTGTGCTCACCCATGTGGAGACCGAAGGTCAGCGCCTGGTGTCTTCTAACAGCCTCCAGCTTATTTTTTGAGACAGTCTCCCACTGAACCTGGAATTTGCCACTTTGATTAGACTGGCCGGCCAGCGAGCCACGGGAATCCACCCATCTCTGCGCTGCCGAGTGCTGGAGTTACAGATGTAAGCCACCATGCCTCCCTTTTATGGGGGACCCGCAACTCTGACCACAGACTTATTTGTGTGACAAGCACTTTACACATCAATCCACCCCCGTGGACCGTAAGATTATCTTTCCTATGGAAAGGAAAATGAATACAAAATGCAAATGCAGTACTGAGGAATTTGGGACTAGACACTATTATATTTCCTGTTCTTCCACGACCTCACCCAGCACGTTGCAGCGGGTCATTAAATAGTCTCGTACTCGCCTCATGTGCGGCACTAAGGGCGCCCATCCATCCGTCCACGTATGCCTCTGTGAGCGCCTGTACTGAGGGAGGTCAGAAGGCATCAGGTATCCTTGATCACTCTGCCTATTCCTTCCAGGCAAGGCTGGAAGCCCTAGTAATCCTGTCTCTGCCACTCTTGGAGCTGGGCTTACAAGTGGGTGTGGGGTGCTTACTCTGTTGTGTGTGCTACATGTCACTCCCATCTCATGGCTGTACTGAGTACTCCAACCACTGAGCCGTTTCTCCAGCTCCTCAGGCTCGTTTGTTATAGGGGATTTGAACCTGATAATTCTGGCAAGAGAAAATCACAAACCAGCTCTGCTGTGTCTCTTCCTTTTCAATAAACCTTCAAAACCCTGAGCCACAAGACTAGAGCTCACTGCTCTAACCACTGAGCAACCTCTCCAGTTCTCACTTGTCATACTTTTTTTTTTTTTTTTTTTTCTTGAAACAGTGTTCTCTCTGTGTAGCCCTGCGTGTCCTGGAACTCACTTTGTAGACCAGGCTGGCCTCGAACTCACTGCGATCCTCCTGCCTCCCAAGTGCTGGGATTAAAGGCATGCATTTCCAGTTTTTTAAACTCGATGTCTGAGAACACAGTGCACTCTGTTCTAGACACTCTAGGTGGTGGTGGAAGAGACATCAGCGGTAGCTTGAACAGTCAGTCACAAGTATATAAGGGGCAAGCCTGACCTCCGAACCTAACAAGTCTACAGAGGTTCTAGCTAGCCGTGTTCCAGGTGATAAGGAGTAGCTTCAAGTTTTGATCAATGAATGAAAACCAGTAAAAATATCAATAAAATATTTTAATGCCTACAATTTCTTGTATACATAAATTGCAAAACATTCACCTGTATATGCAAAAGTATATTCTTCTGCAGGTCAACAGCACCAGAAAACAAGCTAAGCTATGTCCAAGTTTTCTTCTTTTACATTTGATTTGTCCATTATGTAAAAGACATTATGGATTTAATAACTCCAAAGAAATCTATATTTCACTCTTAATCATACACTAAACACCTGAATATGTATTTCATCAATCCACTCACAAAATAAATAGTCTAATCAGCACACTGAAAATAAAACAACCAGTCTCTCTGCATATATTTATTCTCTTTCCAAAATGTTTTGGTCTTCTGCTATATCTCGGAAATGTACTACTAGCTGCTTTTAAGTTATAAAATACAAAATAATTTATTTCTTGGAGAAAATCTTGGGGGTTACCATTACAAAAATGAAATTCCGTGTTCCCTTAGACTTTCTGTTAAGTCTTTGAACTTTCTCTTGGCACACACAGGGCTGCCCGTGACATGTGGTACCCTGCCTCTAAGGGACACAACTGCATCCACTGCAGAGAAAGCACAAAGACCAGTTCTCAAGTAGCCTTAAAACAAAGTGCCCTTTGCTTTAGCAAGTGGGACTGTGCAATCAGAGCCACAAGTTTTATGAAAACTACTTTCTTGTCACATAATTTGTTAGAGAATGCCACACCCATGATCATGTAACATTACAATTGTGGAACATTACTACATTCGAGAATTAACATCACCCAATAAAAGGCACATCTTCAAATAGTGAATCAAATCTGAAAATCAAGACAGTAGAGAGCATACATTAAAAATCAAGCACTTAATTTGTAAACCTTGAAAAAAGAATAGCCTGCTCCTGTTTCCTCCCAGGCTTTGTAAGCTTTTCTCGATGGTCAGGAAATACAGAAGAGCAAAGTGGAAGACACAATTTGGACTTACAGTCTTTCTTTCCTGTGTTTTTTTCAACATAAAAGTCAATGCATATCTGTTAACAGAAATGCATTCAGACATGACAGACATCACAACCTGACTCTTTACTAAGTTCTGAAACTTTAATCCAGCATAATGGCTCCTTCCTGTGCAAACAGCTGCACCCTGTAACTGAGTACAGTGCTTTCAGTCACCAGAAACCTTGACTGCAGTTACAGCTTCCAGAGAATGAATATTGAAAGGTTATCCAAGAAAAATGGAGGGGAAAGCACACAAGTGATAGCAAATAAAATAACGTTCCGATCCTACTTTATCATACTCCCTTAACAGTGGGGTAGGGAGCCAGGAGGTGGTGGCGCACGCCTTTAATCCCAGCACTCGGGAGGCAGAGGCAGGCAGATCTTTGTGAGTTTGAGGCTAGCCTGGTCTACAAGAGCTAGTGCCAAGACAGGCTCCAAAGCTCCACAGAGAAACCCCATCTCACCCCCCCCCCAAAAAAAAACCCACCACGAACCCCCAAAAAAAAAAATCCAAAAAACCAAATCTACATGGTGAGTTAGGATGTCATATGCCATCTAAAATTTAATCCTTGCACTTTTGAATTCAAAATGAGTAAGTTTTAAGGACTCGGTCAATGGTCCCACAAAGAAAGGCTAAAAATGATCACTCATAATATTCAAGCTTAAAGAATGAAGACATCATAGACAAAGACATAAAGTCTGGACCTGTTGAAAAGCAAGAGCTCTCTGTAGACCAGCCTCTCCAGCACCCCATCCCTCATGGCTTAAGAGCTGAAGAAGCCAGATTCACTGTGGAATTGCCCCACAGACCAAATTCTGACTGCTTCCATCCCTCGGGTCTCTAGCATCCTCTCTTTCTCTGTTGCTGACTATCCTTGAGACATGGCTTCCTTCCAGCCAGACCCTAGATCAGCCCGGATGGACTCTAGGCTTAAGTGACAGAAAGTCACTCTAGGCCTGACTTTTGAGAAGGACAGAAGCTCCACAGCTCAGTAAATCACCAACAACAGGAAAAACTTTCACCACAGTGCATAGTTAGAAATCAAAGTGCAATACAGACAAAGGAGAAGGCGGTACTCTTCTTGATACACTAAATACCTAGTTTCTGTTTTTTTTGGTCATTAACATTTTCTAAGAAATTTAAGCTACAAATGCAATGTTATTAACATCAAGAGGTACGGGGCACCTTAGGGTCCCAGAATATCTTTCTGAGTGGGGAGTAGAGCAGAGCAGAGGGCACAACACATGTCACTTGCTGATTTTTTAAACCATTACTCTTTCAAATCTAATATCCAAATAGCCATCTTTCTTTAATAAAAGGAAGAAAGAAAAGAAGACAAAGAAACAAAACAACCAACAGAATAGTAAGGGCCTCATCTACTTCATACTAAGGTCAGTGTGACAGGAAGCCTGAAAAGAAAACTAGAAAAGAATATTTCTTATTCTGGAAAAATTTATATTTTAACTTAGAAAAATTTTATCACCTAATCATACAAATTAAGAATGCTTAGCATCCAATCTACAAATAATGCTGAATACAATATAATTCTATTTTGTATGTCAAAGTCACAGGGTGACATTCATGTAATAATTATAAAGCCTACTCTTTCCTGGGTTTTCAGTTC